CAACTCTTGAGAACTGTATTGCTATTATACCATGTTAAAGGAGTATACATAAAGGGGTTGGATATAAGTTGACTTTGATGTAATGATAAAAAAAAAATAATCAAATAGGTTAAATGGATCCAAGTAAGTGGATTAGTCTGAGCTAAGAAAATGTACTGAGAAAGGAGGAGGCAGAAAAGGGTAAATTACATTATAGGAAAAGACACAAAAACCTATTAGAGCAGAGGTAAAGAAGGGAGGGGAATGAGCATTGTCTGAACCTTACTTTCATCAGATTTGGCTCAAGAAGGGAATAACAATCAGTTAGGTATAGAAATCTGTAGGCAGGAGGGAAAAGGGTAAAGAAAAGGGAGGGAGATAGAAGGGATGGAAGAAGCAGTAAGGGTAAAGGGGAAGAAAAGGGAAAGGGATAATAGAAGGGAGGTGGGACTGAAAGAAGCGGCGATCAAAAGCAAAACACTAGTGGGGGGGAGGAGAAAGGATAAAGAAAAGCATAAATGGGGGGAAAAGGATGGAGAAAAAAACACAGATAGTAATCATAACTGTGAATGTGAATGGGATGAACTCTCCCATAAAACGGAAGCGTATAGCAGAGTGGGTTAAAAACCATAATCCTACAATATGTTGTTTATAGGAAACACATTTGAAAAAGAGCAACACATACAGGGTAAAGGTAAAAGGCTGGAGCAAAATATATTATGCCTCAGCTGAAGTAAAAAAAGCAGGGGTAGCAATCCTGATTTCAGACAAAGCAAAAGCAAAAATAGATCTTATCAAAAGAGATAAGGAAGGAAACTACATCCTGCTAAAAGGCATCATAGACAATGAAGTAATATCATTACTAAACATATATGCACCAAATGGTATAGCATCCAAATTCTTAGAGGAGAAGTTCAGGGAATTACAGGAAGAAATAGACAGCAAAACTATACTAGGGGGGGACCTCAACCTCCCCCTCTCTGAACTAGATAAATCTAACCACAAAATAAACAAGAAAGAAGTTAAAGAGGTGAATAGAACATTAGAAAAGTTAGGTATGATAGACCTGTGGAGAAAACTGAATGGGGATAGAAAGGAATATATTTTTTTCTCTGTGGTACATGGCACATACACAAAACTTGATCATGTACTAGGGCATAAAAACCTCACAATCCAGTGCAGAAAGGCAGAAATAGTAAATGTATCCTTTTCAGATCATGATGCAATAAAAATTATATGTAATAAAGGGCCATGGAAAGATAGACTAAAAAAATAACTGGAAACTAAATAATCTAATCCTAAAAAATGATTGGGTCAAACAACAAATCATAGGAACAATCAATAATTTCATTCAAGAGAATGACAATAATGAGACAACATACCAAAACTTATGGGATGCAGCAAAAGCAGTTCTTAGGGGAAATTTTATATCTCTAAATGCTTACATAAATAAAATAGAAAAAGAGGAGATCAATGAATTAGGCATACAACTAAAAAAAACTAGAAAAAGAACAAATTAAAAATCCTCAATTAAACATTAAATTAGAAATATTGAAAACCAAAGGAAAAATTAATAAAATTGAAATTAAGAAAACTATGGAACTAATAAATAAAGCTAAGAGCTGGTTTTATGAAAAAACCAATAAAATAGATAAACCTTTGGTTAATCTAATTAAAAAAAGAGAAAGAAGAGAACCAAATTACTAGTATCAAGAATGAAAAGGGTGAAGCTACCACCAAGGAAGAGGAAATTAAAACAACAATTAGGAATTATTTTGCCCAACTATATACCAACAAATTTGACAATGTTAATGTCATATTTACAAAAATATAAATTGCCCAGATTAACAGAAGAGGAAGTAAAATACTTAAATAACTCCATCTCAGAAAAAGAAATTGAACAAGCCATTGATGAATTCCCTAGGAAAAAGTCTCCAGGGCCAGATGGATTTACATGTGAATTCTATCAAACATTTGAAAAACAATTAATTCCAATACTATATAGAGTGTTTGGTAAAATAGGTGAAGAAGGAATTGTACCAAATTCTTTTTATGATACAAATATGGTGCTGATACCTAAACCAGGAAGAGTCAAGCCAGAGAAAGAAAATTATAGACCAATTTCTCTAACGAATATAGATGCAAAAATTTTAAACAAAATATTAGCAAATAGATTACAGCAACTTATCACAAGAATAATATACTATGACCTGGTAAGATTTATACCAGGAATGCAGGGCTGGTTCAATATAAGGAAAACTATCAGCATAATTCATCATATCAACACCAAAACTAACAGAAACCACATGATCATCTCAATAGATGCAGAAAAAGCTTTTGACAAAATACAACACCCATTCCTATTAAAAACACTAGAGAGCATAGGTATACATGGAGTCTTCCTTAAAATAATAAATAACATCTATCTAAACCCTTCAGCAAGCATAATATGTAATGGGGACAAGCTAGAAGCATTTCCAATAAGATCAGGGGTGAAACAAGAATGTCCGTTATCACGGAATGTTAGCTTTAGCAATAAGAGAAGAAAAAGACATTGAAGGTATTAGAATAGGCAAAGAAGAAACAAAGCTATCACTCTTTGCAGATGACATGATGCTATACTTGGAAAATCCCAGAGAATCAAGTAAAAAATTACTTAAAATAATAGACAACTTTAGCAAAGTTGCAGGCTATAAAATAAACCCACATAAATCATCAGCATTTCTATATATTACCAACAAAGCCCAACAGCAGGAGATAGAAAGAGAAATTCCATTTAAACTTACTGTAGACATTATAAAATATTTAGGAGTTTACCTCCTGAAACAAACCCAGGAACTCTATGAACACAATTACAAAACACTTTTCATGCAAATAAAGTCAGATCTAAATAATTGGAAAAATACCAGTTGCTCATGGGGAGGCTGAGCTAATATAATAAAAATGACCATACCACCGAAGCTAATTTACTTATTCAGTGCCATACCAATCAAACTACCAAAAATTATTTTATAGAGTTAGAAAAAATAATAACAAGATTCATCTGGAAGAACAAAAGGTCCAGCATATCAAGAGAACTAATGAAAAGAAATGTGGGGGAAGGTGCCCGAGCCATTCCAGATCTTAAATTGTATTATAAAATAGCAATCATCAAAACTGCTTGGTACTGGCTAAGAAATAGAATGGTTCATCAGTGGAGTAGGTTAAGTATCCAAGACACAGTAGTCAATGACTATAGCAACTTATATATTATTTGATAAACCCAAAGACCCCAGCTTCTGGGATAAGAACCCACTCTTTGAAAAAAACTTCTGGGAAAACTGGAAGAGTATGGCAGAAACTAGACATAGACCAAAATCTCACACCATATACCAAAATAAAGTCAAAATGGGTTCATGATTTAGATATAAAGACTGATACTATAAGCAAACTGGGAGAGCAAGGAATAGTTTACCTGTCAGATGTATGGAGAACAGAAGAATTCATGACCAAATAGGAGATAGAGAACATTACAAAAAGCAAAATAGATAAATTTGATTAAATTGAAAAGCTTTTGTACAAACAAAGTCAATGCAACTAAGATGAGAAGGAAGGTAGAAAATTGGGAAAGGATTTTTACAACCAGTTTCTCTGATAAGGGCCTCATTTCTAAAATATATAGAGAATTAAGTCAAATTTATAAGAATACAAGCCATTCCCCAATTGATAAATGGTCAAAGGATATGAAGACAGTTCTCAGATGAAGAAATTAAAGCCATCTATAGTCATATGAAAAAATGCTCTAAATCACTATTGATTAGCCAAATGCAAATCAAAACACCTCTGAGGTACCATATCACACCTATCAGAATGGCCAACGTGACAAAACAAGAAAATGATGAATGGTGGAGAAAATGTGGGAAAATTGGAACACTAATGCATTGTTGGTGGAGTTGTGAAATGATCCAACCATTTTGGAGAGCAATGTGGAACTATGCCCAAAGTGCTATAAAAATGTGCATACCCTTTGACCCAGTAATAGCACTTCTAGGGCTATATCCCAAAGAGATCACACAAATGGGAAAATGACTCACAAGTACAAAAATATTCATAGCAGCTCTTTTTGTGGTGGCAAAGAATTGGAAATTGAGGGGATGCCTATCAATTGGGGAATGGCTGAGCAAGTTGTGATATATGAATGTGATGGAATACTATTGTGCTATAAGAAATGGTGAACAGGCTGACTTCAGAAAAACCTGGAAAGACTTGTATGGTCTGATGCTGAGTGAAGTGAGCAGAACCAAGAGAACATTGTACACAATAACAGCCACGTTGTGTGATGACTAATATAGATAAACTTAACCCTTCCTGGCAATACAAGGATCTAAGATATCTCCAGAGGCCTTGTGATGGAAAATGCTATCCACATCCAAAGAAAGAACTATGGAAGTCGAATTGTTATTTTTTTTCTCTTCTGTTGAGTTTTGTTTCCTCTTTCTGATGGTTCCTCCTACTGGTTTTAATTTTTACTTACATCACTAATGTGAAAATATGTTTAATATGAATGTAAATGTATAGCCTATATTAGATGGTGCACTGTCTTGGGGAGGGTGGTGGGGAGGAAGGGGGAGAAAAATTTTAAACTCAAAAGCATATGGAAGTGATTATTGATAAATCAAAATAAATTAATAAAAAAAGAACATCTAAGAATTGGTTTTTCTGGGGTTAAGCTCTTGTAAGGAGTAATGGTCATGTGTTTGAGGCTAGTATCCTAGTGATTCAAGTTCTGAAAGATCATTGGTGGTTATGTTTAGGGCTCAGAATATCAGGAGAGTGGATGAGTAACTGTAAAGTGAAGACTTTTGCTTACAGAAATGATGCCCTGTAAAGAAGTAGGTTATTATGCTTTCTAAGGACCCATAGGCTCAAACAAATATCAACAAGCTCAGCTATTCCATCTTATTTTATACTATAATTTTCTCCTTCTGTCTCTTTCTTTTCTTAAGATGACTGCCTCAGAGCCTTCTTTTTGCCTTTTTTAGGTTCAGAATGCATTTGAAACTCCCAAAGTTAAGACCCAAATGCCCACCATTGAAAGACTGTCCATGACCAGATATTTCTACCTCTTTCCAGGCAATTAAACCTAGTAAGTACCTTTAGCAGCCCTTGTAAAGTATGAAACAGCAGAAAAGGTGAAATGTGTATGAATTTACGTGTATGTTGGGGAGCAACACCACCCTGCTTAGGCATCTGTCAGAGATGAGGAAAGCTCAGAAAAATATGGCTATGCTACTGCAATGCAACCATTGTTATTTGTCTGCACTTGAGGTGGTCTTTGACACACTGAATTTTTGTGAGGCTGGGGAAGGTATGACATAATAAATATGAGAAAACTGCATGGTTAATAATTAATGTGGTAAAACAATCTTCAGTTCTGCTGTCAACCAGGGAGGACTATCCCTCTGCTCAAAAAACAATCAAGCTCCATGTTTGTTCTGACACACAATTGCTAAAGTCTACAATTATTCCCTCTTTTTATCAGACTTGGGGATGACTAGGAAATCATACTTTGATTAGGGTATTTTCTACTTCAGATATTAGTCTCAAGTCATTTATCAGCTGCCATCTGTACTCACATTTATTCTTTCTGTTTTTTTCTTTAGGAAAATTCAAGTAGCTGGGACCTTATGTATCCACCTATTTCAGAAGAACATTTACTGATGCAACTAGGATTGGAGGGAAAGGATTCATTGGGAATATATACATGCACACATATGTGATATTTCTAATAAAGGTCTGATATCCAAGATATTTAGGCAACCAATAGAAATATATGAGACCAAAAGCATTCTCCTTTGGATAATTAGTTAAGGTGTTCTCCAAAGAAGAATCCAAACTATTCATAACACCATTAAAAATGTTCCAAATCAATAATAAGATATATGCAAGACTAAAGATCCTTGAGGTTTTCCCTCACTCCCATAAAATTAATATAAGTTATTAACATGCAAATAATCAATATCGGAAGGATTGTGGAAAGATGGACACATTAATGCATTGTTGGTCAAGATGTGAATTAGTCCAGTATTTTTGGAGAGTACTTTTGGATTACTCAAATTAAGTCACTAAAATGACCATCCTCCTGGATCCAGAGCCTCCAGTGCTAGTTGATTGGTTGTTGTCCTTCATTCTTGAAGAGGACCAAATTTGGCATCACTATATCAATCAATCAATCAAGGTACAGTGTGTTCAACTGTAGCTGATCAGACCAATATGAGCTTGGAAGGCTTGACCACAGGACAGGCACAGGTAGTACACATGAACATTTGGAATGGAAATGTTTCTAAATTTGTTCATCTCATTTTCTTTTGAGCTACTGCAATTCTGCTTTGTTCATAGAGGACAGTACTTCTTTGATGTGAGCAAGCCAAGTGGAATGGTACTTTGCTAGTGTCTCCCATGGTATTCAATCTATTCCAAAGTTCTTCAGAGAGACCTTGAGATTGTCCTTGTATCACTTCTTCTGACCTCCTTGTGAATGCTTGCTTTGTGTGAATTCTCTGTAAAATTGTCTTTTAGGTAAACATGTGCTAAGCATATATACCAGTGGTGGGCATATATACCAAGGAAGTTAAAGGGAAAAAATAAAGGACACACATATACCGATATATTTATAGCAGCTTTTTTTGTGGCAACAAAATTTTGGCAACAAGATAGATGTTCTTTAGTTGGAGAATAGGCAAACAAATTGCAGTACATGAGTGCAATGAAATATGACTGTGCTGTAAGTAAATCTAATTATTATCAATATAGAGAAGCATGTAAAGATTTATATGAACTGAAGTAAATGAAGCAGAATGAGAAAAACAAAACGCATAATGACTACAATACTGTTAATAGAAAGAACAAAGTACCAATGGAATGTCACAAAATTATTATGATGACAAGCTTGTTTCCAAAAAAGAGATATAAGAAGATACTTCCACCAACTTCTTTGCAGAGGTAGAGGACTATGAGTTCTATGCAACAGTACAGATGATATCAGACTTTTTCAATATATTGTTTAGTTTTGTTGAACTCCTAATTGCTCTTTTTTTAAAAAAAATATGTTTCTAAAAGAATTCATTTCTCTGTAAGACATTGGGGTGAGGGATTTAGGTGGTACAACAAAATAAATAAAAAAATTAAAATTGTATTAGATCTTGTCTAAAATTCTAATAAAGACAAAAACAAATAAATTACTGACCTCTTGTTCTTCAGGAGAGGATTAAATTTCACATGGCGTGAGAGGAGAAAGGTCATTTAGGTCTTAGTTTGGTCAATGATACTACCTATGCCATGCAGCTAGGTGGTGCAGTGCTACAACACTGGACTTGGAGTTAGGAAAACCTGAGTTCAAATCCTGCTTCATACACTTACTAGCTAGGTGAATCTAAGCAATCATTTAATCCTGTTTGCCTCAGTTTCCTCATGTATAAAAAAGAGCTAGAGAAGGAAATAGCAAACCACTCTAGTATCTTTGCCAAGAAAACCCAAAATGGGGTCACAAAGAGTCAGGTGTGACTGAAAAATGACTGAATACACACTACCTGTACCATGTCAACTAGGAAGACAGGAAATGCTCAGACTCTTTTGAACCTCTTTTTAAAGTGGTCTATGTTATTTAAATTCTTATTGACAAATGAGGAAGTAGTTCTGTGCAGAAGCCAGAAAATATAACTTCCTGAATTTTCAAATCACTTACAAGTTAAACTTTGGACCTAGAAAGCTATTTAGCAAGTCCTATATTGCATTATCAACTCTTTCTATATGTCATCCCAGCCTGACAGGAAATCACTGACTTTAAAAGATTTTCAAAGATTTAAGTTGCAGATTCCTTTTTTCTCAGTAGCTGGTCTCTGATCCATGGGCTAGGCAGAATCGTTTCTTTCTATGAACTGTATTTAGGGGACTTCTTAACTCTGCTCCAAGCTTGGGTTGTACCGAACCATACATAGCTCATGGTCCTAGAGCTGGATGGGTGGTAGTGGTAGCAGTGGTAGGGTGGATGTGAAAAGGTTGGGATAAGCCATATGAATAAAGCAAGCTAAGAATGAGAAAAGTAGCCTGATTACTAGCTAAAAGAAGTGATATTCATTGCCACATCCATTGATCCCAGAGTAAATCTTACTTCTTATCTCAGCCAATTATTGAAGATCTAGAGAACAGCCACTTGAAGGCAAAGGATAGGAACTAGAGCAGGTCAGTATTGGTACAGACACTGTTCATGATGGTTTTGGGGTGGGAGACTTATGACTAGAAAATGACAAGGGTGAAATATACCTTTTTCAAGAGAAACAGATTAGGGAAGAGAAGAAATGGAATAGCATTGAACATGCAGAAAATAGACCTCTGTAAAAATCCATTAACTTTATGGGAAGGCATTACAGAGAACAACAATCTTGGTAAGCATAAAAAGAGAGAGAGACAGGTGAAATAGTAATGATCATATATAATAGGCCATCACATAACTGGAGGAATTATACAATGAATATCTAATATAAATCACAAAGCTCACATGAAATCAAGATGGAGCTGTTATGGGAGATTGACTATCTGAGGCTATCTCATGGAAGTTTCCATGAGAAGCAGAGCACTTGAATGACTTCTTGACTAATGCATGCAGTGCATTATGCATGAAAGATACTGTTATTTTGGATCAAAGTATCACCATTAGGGAAACAGTGGTTGTGAAACAAACTAACATGTTTTAAGCACCTACTATGAGACATCATAAGCCTTGCATGGTGAGAATAAATTTAGTACTTCAGTAATATTGTAGGAATGCTTGCCAACGTAGTACAACTGACTCCATTTTGTTTTAAGCTTCCACTTTGAGATTGTGCTGTTTTGAGTAAATTGTTTTTTCCTTTAAAAATGAAAAACGAAACTGTGTGAAATGATGAAGTAAAAAATATGTGTGTATAGTTAAACAGCTGATGAAAAAATATGTGGACCCTCTGATAAGACAATCAATAAGACAAACAATGGGGAAAAATATTATAAGCAACTTTAGTAATTTTGAAGTAAAGTACCGATCAAATTATGTGGTAAATAACATAAGGAACATACATAGCTTAAAAAGCATAAATAAATAAACAAAACACCTGAGGGCTCAGCCATTAGCCTGGTCCTAGAGTATGAGTAGTGCTGCCTCCTGCATTTCTCACCTTTGAGACTCAAGCCACCCAGTTTGGCTTGAAGGCAGTGCTGATTGATAGTCAGATGACTACCTCATAGGAAAACTAAAATGGCAGAATTCTGCCATAAAGTCCTGTGCATAGCGCATTGTTTACACTTGGATTCATAAAATTCAATTGCACACATTGAGATATCTTATTAGTGTTTCCATCCACTGGTTAATGTAAGTAACAGTAAATCGGTGATATGTATGCACCTTACATTAATATCTTGGAAGGCAATGGCTGTGCTATGTAAAGGATTATAGTAGCTAAGCAAGAGAATATCAAGTGTAACCTGACTTTAAGAAGACACACTTGAGAGACCTAACAGACAGAATAGATAAGAAACATGGGGTTTAATATTTTCAAAAGGAAATTTAATTAAGGAGAATGAGAGTCTGTCAACAATTGCATGCAACATAGTAGCGGCATTGTAGTGGCCACAATAATGATCAACAATTGTAGTGGTGTAATCATAAGTTAAGGATCAGAGATTTAGAGCTGGAAGGAACTTAGTGGTCATTTAGCCCATCTCCTAATATATGTAGATGAGGAAACTGAAGCTCATTGACTTGACCAGGGTCACATAGTTAGTAGATTTTAGAGATGGGATTTGAACCCAGGTATTCCTAACTCACAGAGAGCCTGGCCTGAAGTCAGAAAGATCTGAGTTCAACTCCAGCCTCAGATATTTACTAGGTAGAAGATCCTGTTCAAGTCACTTAACCCTGTTTGCCTCAGTTCCTCATGTGTAAAATAAGCTGGAGAAGGAAATGGCAAACCGATCCAGTATCTCTGCCAATTAAACACTAGAGTTGGACATGACTGAAACTACTGAACAACAACATTCCTAACTCAAAGTATGCTACACTATCCACTATACCACAGTACCTTTAAAACTGATAGTGAGCAGGGATTGGGGGTCAGGAGAGAAAAAGTAAAAAGTACACAGCAGAGAACAAAAGAAGACCTACAAGGAAACAAAGAAAAGCTGGGTAGCTTGGGAAATAATGTGTAGAATTTATTATGTAGGTTTTCTTGAAATGGAAATTTATTGTTTTATATTGAATCCTGTCCTGTGTTTTGTTGTATACATGGAAATGTTCATTCTTTTTTTATTTTCTCATTTTGTATTTAAGTTTAAAATGAATAAAAAATAAAAAAAACAATTAAAAAATAAAATAAATCAATGATGGACAAGATGGGAAAAATAATTTTCTAAAGAGATTGATATGGCCAATCATGAGATATAAATATGGACATGCAAGATGTACAAATGAAGAAATCACAGGAGGTAACTGAAGATGAATATGAAAGGCAAAATTATACAAGAATAGGAGAAAAAAGACTAAAGTCCTCTTTTAGCTGAGAGTACATGCCTAAAACAACAACAACACAAGGTCGTTTTTACTTTGTTTTCAGTTTAAGGTAACAACATTGAAGTTTAGTAGGGATAAATACAAAGCCCCACACAAGTTTAAAACTGAGCAGACCAGAGAAAATCTCTATATTATCTATCTCTATTTTTGTCTGTCATCTATTCATCTACATAGAAAGAGAGAGAGAATGAGAAAGAGGAGGCAGAGAGAGGAGAGAGAGAGGGAAGGAGAGACAGAAAGAGACAGAGAGAGACACAGAGAGAGAGAGAAAGAGACAGGTACAGAGAAAGAAGTGGGGAGGGGAGATCGGAAGGGGAAAGCAGAACTAACAAATTAACATTAAGAATAAGACCTGGCGGAAGAGAGTTAATTAAGAGGGAGATGAAATTTAGAAAGAATGAGGTTTAACTTCTAGTAGTTGTCATGTCAGACTAGCATTAATCTTTAATAGCCTCCGTAACTTATAAACTGTTCAGACCCCCCGAGCCTCCTAAGTTTATTAATTTTTAATCTTAATTTAATTAATTAATTTGTTTGTTTGTTTATACCAAATTCATGGACTTCCTGAGGAGGGTTTCCCTCTACAATCATAACTAGGCACCTACTCTGCCACTTAATCACTTATGGCCTTATAAAATTGCCTGAGGCACTGAGAAGTTTTTTAGTGAGCATTTCAGTCAATATATTTGAGGCACTAGACTTAAATTCAGGTCTTCCTGGCTCTGAGGACAGTAGGACCAGACGTGTGAGTTGCCTTGACCATATATGTTCCTACATGTGTACCTCACAATCATTACCCTTTAAGCTGGGCCCACTCTTCCTACAGTGTGTGTGTGTGTGTGTGTGTGTGTGTGTGTGTGTGTGTGAGAGAGAGAGAGAGAGAGAGAGAGAGAGAGGTGCATAGAGACAGACAGACAGACAGAGATAGAGATAGAGAGATAGAGCAGTGAATGAAACTCCAGGTTTTGTTTTTTGAGGGGAGTGGGAGAGAGACAGGAGATGTTTTGTAGCTATTGTTCTTTGTTATTGTTTAATCATTTCGATTGTGTCTGACTTTTCATGACCCCCACTTTTTTTTTTTTGTTAGCAAAGATGCTGGAGTGGTTTGCCTTTTCCTTCTCCAGCTGATTTACAGATGAGGAAAGTGAGGCAACAAGGGTTAAGTGACTTGTCCAGGGTCATACAGGTAGTGAGTTTCTGAGGCTGGATTTGAACTCAGGTCTTCTTGCTTCCAAGCACAGCTCTCTATCCACCGAGCCACCTAGCTGTCCTCTATTCTTACTACGCCATTTTACAAAATTTGTTGCTTAGGGATAATTGTGTTTATTGTATAATTCTGAAGAGGAAGCACACTAATAATACCCAGTGAACTACAGTTGTGGGAGTCCAGACCCAAAGAGTGTCCTAGAAACCGTGGGAATAGTAGCTACCTGCTGGGGATTGTTTGGCCTCCTACTCTACCTTCTCAGCAGCATACCCTTTAAACAAACCAAAGAAAAGCCAAGAGTTTGGTTTTTAGTGAGGAAGGCAAAGAAGAAAGGAATATTGGTCGTCAACTCTGGTCTATCCTTAGCTAGAATGATAAGAAGCCCAGTCCAGAGAAGTTCATTCGTATTTGCACATGTGAAATAAGAGGTG